CTCACATGGCTGACTGTAGTTTGAGTCCTAGACCTATAACTTGAAAAATCACACCATGTATGTGTGTGCCCCAAATCCCAGGAGAATGGAGAAAAAGGGACTATGGCACGGCCATCCTCCCTGAGGGGTGATTTCTCACGTTTCCTCTCACTGTCTCTGACTCTCTCCAAACAGGTCATGCTCTCTATGGCAAATAAATAAATCATTCAGTCCCCATCAGAGGTAGTTCTTTGAGTCCCATGTATCTTTTCCCTTGGACCCCAATGAAGATATGGGTCATCTCCCCCAAGCAACTGTACTTTTCATGCTGGAAGTTCAGCTATTCTTTGACCCTATATTCTCTCAAACTAAAAGATGCTTCAGTCTCACTGGAAGCTTCTCCTTTTGTGAACCAGAACTCTTAGAAAGCCATCAGCTTTTAACTCATCTCTTCCTTCTCATCTAGATTCAGAATTACTCTTGCAAGGAATATTTTCCCCTCAGTCTGAATACACTTGAGTTGCCTAGAGCTCTGTGCTCAGTAATATAAGCCCCTGGCTCTGGATGGCTGCTCAAATCAAGTGTAAAATTCAAGCCCTTAGTTACACTAGCCACACTGCAAATCCTCAGTTGCCGCTTGTGGCTAGCTGCCACCTGTTGGCCAGAGCAGACATGGTATCTCAGAGTTCTACAGGTCATGGCTGGCTTTGGGACAGGATGAACTTGGAGTCGGGCATACAATTCTTTCTTCAAGTTAGATACTGCTTCATCTGACCTGAGAAAAGGAGTGCACGGTGTTCCGGCAGAACATGAAGGGGCTGATGGCGATCTTCACTTCCTGCTTTGCCACTGCCAGGTCACTATTTCTCCTGGCTTGGGAATAAACTAATAGGAGACGAATGAAATCAAGTAGAGGCTGTAAGAATAGTCAGCAAAAAAGGGGCCAACAGGTGGCACAGTGGTTACAGTGTCGACTCTCACATGGCCAACTGTGGTATGAGTCCCAGTCCAGGGAGACTGAAAACCATGACAGGCACATGTGTATGAGCCCAGACTCCCAGGAGGAGAATGGAGGAGAAGGGACTGTAGCATAGCCACCCCTCCTGGGGGGTGATTGCTCACTTTCTCTCTCACTGCCGCTTTCTTCAGCGAGTGCATATGCCCTAAGGGCAAAAATCACAGTGGAGAATAATGAGCAAAAGTAGACCCAATACCTGCAACAGCAGGGTAAAATTCTTTTTCTGAAATGGATAAAATCCAAAACCATCCCAGAGTTAGGAAAAACAGCTGCTTTGTGTTCTTAATAAGATACCATTGGACATGACCTTGATTGAATCAGAAAAGACTACTCCAAAATTAAATTGTACTAGCCAAATAGTAACTGCCATTTGATTAATGAAGCAGAGAGCAAACCTGAGAAACACTCTCAAATTTGAAGGAAGTGAACAAAAAGATTAAATAAATCGTTCTGTGGAAAAGCCCATGAGGGAAAATAGAATCACAATTCATTTCACTCACTCACACACTCACACTTCTCACACATGCACACACACACACACACACACACACACACTCTATACACCATAATTCCTGATCAGATCTGCACCAGCTGTCAATCCTCACTGATCTATAAGTATGAGACTTTCACTTATAAAAACTCCCACTCTTAAGATGGGAAGATAAAAGTAATTATGGGATAAGTGAAGGGATCAAAAATTTCAAAGAGGTGAACTGAGGTGAAAAATGTGAGGCAAATAGTTCCCATTGAAATACACTGAATTCGGGAAATACATCATGCTTCTTGAATACACATATTTATGGAGTCTATAAAATAGGAGCAAATGGAGCAAGCAGAAAATACAAAAAAAGTTATTGAATAATATAAAAGAGTTATTGGCAAATGTTTTAAATCATCCTAGATTTTTTTTTAAAAAAATTGATTAAAGGTACTGAAAAGCAAAAGAAAATTTAAAAAATAAAGTCATTTAAAAAGGAGATAGAATAATTTATAATAGTGCTCATAAAATTCTTCTCTAAAGACGAAAACATAAATTTCAAGAGACCATATAAAAATCAAGGAAAAAGGATTCAATAGAGGTTTTTATAATAGATGTTGATAAGGGAAAATAAAAAACTGGCAAAAAATAGATTTTTTAATTAAATAAGGAAATTTGGGGGCACCAGCAGGTGACGTGATGGTTAAAGTGCTGGACACTCTCACATGGCTGACCATGGTTCAAGTCCTGGACCTGGTGGCTTGCTTTCTCACTTTCCCTCTCTCTCTGTCTCTCTTTCACTGTGTCTCTCTCTGGTCAAATTAAAATAAATTAATAAATAAATAAGATTAAATAAGTAAGTCTTTTTAAAAAGAAAAAAGATAAGGAAGTTGAATACATGCATTTAGCAGTAGGAGAGCCCCACTAAAGTGTGAATAAAGAAAAAAAATTAAGTATAAAAGGTGAGCCTAGCTCACAAAAAAATAAAGCAAAAACACATTAAAAATTAAGGGAAAATGTAAACCAATTAGTCTAATGCAGGAGGTCTTATTTTTTTAAAAAAAAATTGATGGTTTCCTAAAGAGTATTTTAAAAAATAAAACAGATACAAAGCACTAATGAACAAAAATTAGTCTAAAAACTTCCCAGCACTGAAGAAAACTTATGTCTAGACTATTAGGCTAACTGGGATCTCATCACTATAAATAGGAATTGTCCAATATCAACATCTATTATGGTAGCATTGCTGAACACTGCAGACAAAGAGAAAAATCCTATGTATTTCCAAAAAGAAAATGCAATGAGAATAGAAATTGCAGAAATTCCTTAAGTTACAGAAGCAATGTCTTTCCAACCCCTAATTATAAACCAGCTAAACTTAGGGACCGGCAGGTGGCATGGTGGTTAAAGGTGCTGGATTCCCACATGGCTGACTGTGGTTCAATTCCCAGACCTAGAGGCTTGCTTTCTTGCTTTCCCTTTTTCTCTCTCTCTCTCTCTGGTCAAATTTAAAAATAAGAAAAACAAATGGAATTAAATAAATAATTATTTTTAAAAGAATAAATAAACCAGCTAAACTTTCACTTGAATATAAAAATACAATTAGGATATTTTCAGAGAGCAAAGATCTCAAAAATTTTACTTTTGCGTATTCTTTCTTAGGTAGTTACTAGAATATGTGCTGAATTAAAGGGAAAAAATTAAAATGATAAATAGGAAAAATGGGATTGAGGAAGCAGGGATTCAACACAGAAGAAAAGTTAAGGGAATATCCATGATAAAAGTGAAAGGAGAAGCCAAGATAACAGCTTTATAGCAAGTCTACTGAGCAGCCAGTCCAGTTTGGAAATGATAGAAGATTTCAGGGAAGATGACAAAATGGAGAGTATACCCAATTTGTTAAACATAGTTTTGCTAGCTCATAGCACTGTTCATTGGTATTTCCCCTCTCTCTCTGGGCTTACAGAAATATTACATTTTCTACTTCTTGAAATTATGGATGGTAGTAGACTTACTCTGACAGTGTTAGAGGATTTTTTTTTAACCATAAAAACATAGAACTGTTATTTGTCAAGAATGTCTCAGCAAAACCAGAATGCTCAAGATCCCAAGAGGAGAATGGAGAAGAAGGGACTGCGGTGTGGCCATCCTCCCTGGCAGGGGGATTTCTTGCTTTCTGTCTCTCTGTCTCTGTCTTTCTAGCGAGCACACGTGCCCTATAGCAAAAACCTCTCTGCCCCCCCCCAAAAAAAAAATCTTGCACAAAATGTGTTTATTAATGACTCTACTAATGATAAGTTACATAATCAACCAAAAGGAACTATATCTGAGAAAACTTTAATAAATATGTATTTTTCCTATATTAACTTATTTCCTCAAAGAGTTCTGGGTTACATTTTAAACACCAACCAATAGTTTAACACAAACCATCTTGTTGCTAGTTTTATAATTTAATGCTGTTCTATATAGAGAGATAATGAGTAAAATACAAAAGAAAGTATTACTGTAAAATTACAGATTCTGAAATGCTAGAAATGACCATAAAATTTTTAAATACTATTTTAAATTGTTTTAATCATGGATTTTATTTTTTTTAATATGTAAGTTCTGACATCAAGTCTGATCATGATTTTTTTTAGATTTTCAGTTTTGTCAACATTCCCACCATGCATGCCTAATGACAACATCATCATGGGGCATGCAGGATGGGGCATAAGGAAGGCTCTCCATGAGAATGCTGTTGGTGAGTAGGGGCCACACCTCAATGTGAGTTGAGTACACTTAGAAATCAGTCATAGAAAGATACGTCTACCACAGACATCTTTCTTCATATTGAAATCACCTCATTTCTTCCCTAAATCCTTTCTCTAGATCTAGTTCCTGAAAAACTCCTTATCCTGTACCCATTTATTTATTTATTTATCTTACTTTGTTCCATTGGTGTAAGACAGTGCTTCAGTGAACTATCTCAGTTTGTGGAAAGAAAAGTCAATGTGATAAGTGACAAAAGTTTACCAAATTTAAGATATAGTGCTCTAAAAATATAGGTGACTAATCATGGGTTGCCAAAGCATTCTTTGTTCCACTTTTCAAGATGAAGACATTTCCTTTCTCCATATGGGTACCTAGGCTTTTAAAGTATCAACGGCATAGCTCACAGCTTCAAGGGACGCAGCCCTGTGAGCTGAGGACACAGCAATGATTAGGCTTGCTTCTGACACTGGATCCAAGCTGAGTCTATGGAACACCGCTATGTGTTTCACTGGCCACTTCTGCCTAATGTCACTACAGATTTTTCTGACTTCATTTTAGATATGCTTCATATTCTAAGCTAACGACATTTTTTCCTTCAAAGTTATTTCTTGTAGTTCCTACAAATAGGAATATTGCACCACAGAGTGGAGAAACCACCAACTGTGAACTTCATCTACTGAAAGTTTCTCGGTAATATATTTTATTAGATCCTTAGATTTCTCTTCAATTCATTCATCTCTTTCCTAAATTACTCAAAAGTACTACCTTCCACTAATGGGGGATAATGGCAATTTCATCTCCTGCTTGAAGCCAGAGGAGCTGATCTCCAAGCTCAACATACTCTTGACGAACGGCAAATATCACCTGATTTCTAACATCAGTCAATCCAGGATGTAGACTTTCTATCTCGTTCCACAGCTGCAACGCTTTTATTTCTTGTGTCACAGAAATTGTCTCTGAACAAACTCCAGTTATTTCAGCACTTTTTGCAAAATACAATACTTCAATCTGGCACTGGGGCACCATCCCACCAGGACTCCTTGACAGACTTAGAACCACAGATCCATGTTAAAGGAATCTTAAAAGAAAGTGCTTGCAGGCAATAATCCCCAAAATAGACAGGAGGGATTACATCAGATAAGGAGTCTCTGCACAGCAAAGGACACCATAATTAGTGTAAATTGACAACCCTCAGAATGGGAGAGAATTTTTGTTAACTGTGCAGGGAACTCCATCAGCTTAACTGGAAGAAAATGATTAGCCCAATTAAAAGACAGGAAAATAAGCTGAATAAACAACTCTCTAAGGAAGACATACGAACAGCCAAAAAGCATATGAAAATATGTTCAACATCCCTCATTCTAAGGGAGATGCAGATCAAAACCATAATGAGATACCACCTACCCCAGTCAAAATGGCAAAGATTAAAAAACAAATAATGATAAGTGCTGGAGGGGGTGTGGTGAAAGGGAACACTCCTACACTGTTGGTGGAAAGGTAAATTTGTCCAGCCACTGTGGAGAATGATATGGAGGTTCGTCAAAGACCTTCAAATAGAACTACCATATGATCCAGCAATTCCACTCCTGGGTATCTACCCAAAGGA